CCCCAAAACCCCAAAACCCCAAAACCCCAAAACCCCAGATAAATAAATAATAATTGAAATAATGATCCAGACGTGTTCACCGGATACAAAGCAAGTAGTTTTATCCTAACGAGGAATTAGATTACCAAGCGAGATTATTACAATCATTTAATTTTAATAGAGCATAGATAAGTTACCCTCACATATCGTTTAGATATTCTTCTGTCAGATTTTGATATTTTATAGGATCTTTAATTTAGTCAAAGGTCTTTGCCAGCAGAAACCGAAAGAGCTCCAGGGAGATGAAGAAGAGGAGAGAAATAGTGAACAAATCGCGCTTTTAGAAGAAGATTATAATGGTGAAATTTCAGCAACAATTTGGATTCCTTTGGCTGTAGCAGTAGGTATTCTAAATGCATTAGCTAATCTTACGACAAGTTATCTTTCAAAATATAAAGAGAAAATCCTTGCAATAAACAGTATTGGTCTAATGCTTGGATGCTTCTTAGCTTTATGTGCTATCACATTCTTCTCTAAATCGAAGACTAGGCCAGAGAGATCTGATGATGAGCCTCAGGCAGAGGCTCCACTATTCAAATGGTTTTATGATATCTATTATGTGAGAAAGCAAGACGAACATGGAAGGTTCCTTGAAAATCAATGGGAGAACAAAATCCAATATACTCATGTTTTTCTAAGTTTTGTGTTAATATTTTTAATAGTTCCTATTAAGATAATGCGTGCGTTATCTTATTATTTTGCAAGTATTGGCTACTTCAATACCGGAGTCCTTGAATCAACAGGGACTACTAAAGTAATTTTTTCTTCAGTTTTATATTATTTTGTGTTTAAGCAAGTTATCAAATGCTATGAATTCATCGCTATCTTCCTGCTGATAGTTGCTTCATTAATGATGTTTCTGTCTGGAGAGTCAACAACAGTAGCTGAAGGTACTGAAACAGCAGCTTTCTATATAGTCTTGAGTTGTGCTCTGAAGATATTTTCACAAATCTTTTTGGTTATCAGATGTGCTGTGATTAAATTCTTCTTTGGAGCTGCTAAAGAAGTTAATATTTCTGCCCTCCACAATTTCACAATAACTATATTGGAGATCTTCTTGATTATTTATTTCATAATTTTATTGTGGCAAGGTCTTGAATTAGAGACCTTAGAGGTATGTGTTGGAATCATTGGAGGGTTTCTCTTCAGTATGTATGGATATCTATTTGCTTATGTGAATGTGAGAGGACAAGCAGGAATAGCTAACGCAATCATTGAAACCAAGGTTCTCTTTCAAGCAGCTTTGGATTGGATGATATTTGGAAGGGCTCCCAATACTATCCAGTATTTCAGTATGTGTATGGGATTAGGAGCAATATTCTTCTTACTTTTTATGTCCCATATCACATCCAAGAACAAACCCCCTACCTAAATCCCAGTTTCAACCACACAAATTCTCCATGGGGTTTTGGGGTTTTGGGGTTTTGGGGTTTTGGGG